CTGTAAAACTTTCCAAAGATCTTTTTGTACATAATATATTTACAAATAAGAGTTTCATTACAAATCTTAGATTATATATTTTATAGTACAAAATATTACTAGTTTTGCTGTTAATATTACAATAATTTTGATTTACCTTTCTTACAAATATGAGAACTGAATAATACTGACCTATAGTAAATATGTATATTTAGTATATATGCATTCCAATCACACAAGCATAGGTATATCAACCAGCACAGATATTCACAGTCCATCAAGCCCATAATATGAACTTATAAGAAATTTTTATATCTAGCAAACATTTCCAAATAACTACAGTAAGAATTTTGCACTTTAAAACTCTGCTTTCATATTGCGCCAATAAACTAGCATTCGTTTCTTCTTGCAGTAAACAGGTTTAAGCATGAAGTAAATAGATATCCTTTCAAATTGGGATTTTGGCTTTTAAGAAAAAGATCCCATATATGTTAGCAGCTTTATTCTAAGAAATATACAGTCATGCATCGCTTACTGATGAGGATATACTCTGAGAAATGCATTGTTGTGCAAAAGTCATACAGTGTACTCACACAAACCTAGATGGTATAACCTACTACATACCTAGGCTACATGGTACCTGTACAACACGTTATTGTTCTGAAAACTGTAGGCAATTGTAACACAATGGTAAGTATTTGGTATCTAAAGATATCTAAACACAGAAAAGATACAGTAAATATACGTATTATAATTTCATAGGACCTCTGTCATACATGCAGTCCATCATTGACCAAGACATCATCAGGCAGCAAATGACTGTAATTAGGGCCCTTCTTAGTTTTTCACAACCAAATGGAGGTAACTGATGACCAGAAATTTTCTTGGCAATGTGAAATTTTCCTGGTAAAGCTGAAATACTTTAGTAGGAGGCAATAATTTTATTTTTATTTTTTCCTTTTTTTTTTCTATTCTTCCCAAAGGCATCAAAAGAGAGGCAATACTTCATAAAGCTTTCTTGGCTTGGAATTATGCTAACCACAGATTTATTAGTTTAGTAGACAGTGTTACTGAAAGAACTCTTGCCCTCTTCTTCAATATCACTAACACAGGAATAATTTTGGCTCATGCAGTTTATGGACTGAATTGTGTCCCCCACAAATTCATATGTTGAAGAAGCCCTGAGCCCCCATGTGACTATGTTTGGGGACAGGGCCTTTAAGGAGCTGAGGGAGGGTACATGAGGTCGTAAGGGTGGGCCCCTGATCTAACAGAACTGGGGTTCCTCATGTGAGAAGAGGAGGACACACCAGGAGCACACACTGAAAGAGTAAAGGCCCCTGAAGACAGTGAGCACGCAGACCAGGAAAGAGGCCTCGACAAAAACCAGGACTGTGAGAAAATAAATTTCTGTTTAAGCCACCCAGTCTGTAGCATTCTGTCACAGCATCCTGATCAGACTAATACAATGCCTTAAAAAAAATTACAATTTTCCTGTTTCTTCCCTAAAAACATCCTACAGTTGTGTAATAATGAAATCTCCATACAATAACATATATGATTTTGTTTTTCACTAAATTTCACCATTATTGTAGCCGTATCTGCACACTGTAAGTAAAGCAGTTTGCGATCTGTATTTTATTACAAATAGATTTTCTGTACATAGGAGTTTGGTTATTTGTAAATTCTTCTATCCTAGTTATATCTCCGTATTAGTTGACTCGGGCTGCCACAACAAAATACCATAGGCTGGGTGGCTTAAACGACAGATGTATATTCTCATAGCTCTGGAGGCCAGAAGTCCGAGATCAAAGCACCAGCCAATTCAGTTTCTGATGAGGGCTCTCTTCCTCGCTTGTGTACGGCAGCCTCTCTGCTGCGCCTCACGCGGCCCGTCCTTGGTGCCTGCCCAGGAAGAGAGCGAGCGAGCCCTCCAGGGTCTCTTCGTCTAAGGACACTAATTCTCCCAGGGCCCATCGTTCTGACTTCATTTAACCTTAATTACTTCCTTAGAGAATCCCATCTCCAAATACAGCCACACTGCAGGTTAGGCTTCAACATATGAACTTTGAGGGGACACAAACATTCAGTAAACAACGATCTCTAAACATAAACCCTTCCTAGTCTATCATTTAACAAAATGTTAGCACTCCCAAACTATAGCAAAACAGAGACAATAAAAATCTGTTAAGTATATAAACACTGAGATAAAATACTTCATTTTTAAAATGATTCTAATAATAAGTCAATGTCACGCAACACAGTTCAAGTGCTACGTGAGACTTGGTCAGAGAAAAAACAAATTTAAACTATAGGAATAATTCTGTGAGGAGTTGAAGAGCTCTGGCTAGATCAGGCAGAATGCAATGAAAGCAGAGTCCTCAATCACCTGGAAACTGGCAGCTAATGTGGAAACAGACTGGGTGCTACTGGGTGGTCTTCCAGGAAAATAATAATCCAAATAGAGAACTCTCCAGCCGAGAGATACGCAAACTGCTTTCCTTTTGATTTAGCTGACATATGGCCACACAGTAATCTCAGCTACGATCTGTGCCTTACTACACTCCTGGAAACATCTACTACAGACGATTACACCAGTACATTTGAGATAGGTGTCTTAAAAGGGAGCCACAAAATGAACATTCCCAATGGGAATCTATTCCCAGGCCAATATAATAGAGGAAAAAAGACTTTTTAGGTTTAATAAAAATGATACTACCAGTAAGAGCTACTAAGCTAAATGAAGAAGTACTATATATCTACTTTTTGGATTACTGTGATTAATCGCTCCCCTTTTCTTATATTCTCAACTCATCTGCCAAATTAATCCTCCCACAACTTCATTACTCCACTATTAAAGACTACTCCTCTGGCTCCCTGAATCCAGCGCAAATTCCCCTGCCCAGCATTCAAGCAAGTATCTACATAATCAAGCCCAGCATAGTCAGCCTTATTTTTAATACCAAACACAACTCTTGCCCCAAATTTGATATTCCCCCTGCTCCTTGCCTGGTGTATTCCCCACCTGCCCACAGAGCGTTTCCATTCTGTCACCTCCTTCGTGAAGCATTTTCTGATGACATCACACACACCGATTTTTCCTTCAGTCAACAACTACGCATTAAGAACCTATTTTCGTTCCAGACGTTGAGAGGGCCCCTTCCCCCCAATTCTTTTTGTCCACCCTTGTCTGCGACTTAGGCTTATTAGCCTCCTTACCGTCCCAGTCTGCCAATATGCCACCTTAATATATCCGTGGAAAACGTTAATGTTTTCTTTCTAGTTGGTTCTCTCGTGTGCAGTCTTAACTGTAGGTGATTGTTTTTAGGAATTCAAACTTATGTATCTTTTATACCCCCTACAGCGCATAGCAAAGGGCTGATCACCTTGATATCAACTGGTGTTAAATATGTTTTTCCTTTGTAAATCTTGTGCATTACTTACACTTTTGTGCCTGTCTTGAAGGGATACAAGGAAAGAGAGAAGAGCCTGACACTTGAATATTTTTTTCAGTTGCGGACATTGTCCTTAGCTGTAATTGGTAAGACAAACATTTATGTAGCTCCTACCACAGATCAGTTCAGACATAAATATTCTGTTACGGTATGGCCTTCATCATGGCTGTTCCCCAGCACCAATCATTGCTTTCTGCACATAATTAACACCCAATATGCATGTGTTGAGTGAAAAAATGAATGCGGTCCCCCGACCCACCCCCCGCCTTCCAGTAGCTTATATTTTAAAGGGGTGAAGGTTAGGGAGACACAAGCGATGAATAAACAAATAAATGAGCAAGGTAATTTCAGAGTGTGATAACTGCTATAGAGAAAATAAAACAGGGTACTTAATATCACGAACTACTCAGCTGTTCCCGAATCCGGAGACGTTTATCAGTGCAGTCAGGCCACCCAGCAGCATGGCTCCGTGGCCAAGAGGGCAGATCCCCGGTGCACGACCCCGCCTCCCTCCCTCGCTGAGTGGGTCTGGGCACGTGGCTTAACTTCTCTGGCCTCGACTTTCCCATCCTCTTAAAATACCTGCTACCTTCCTCGGGAGGGTGAAACTGAGGATTACAAGAGTTGGCACGCAAGTGCCTGGTACTGAGCCGGCAACCCAGCAGGCATTCGGGAAGTGCTAGTAGCAATCGGAACCTCGGGTCAGGTGAACTCGCCTGGCGCTGAAGGGCAGTGAGCCTCAGGCTCTCTCTCCCCACACCCGCGCCTCCCTGCCCAGGGTGGAGCAAGGCTGAGCCGAACAAAGTTTTGACCTTGAACTGAGGTTCCAGGGGCTCGCGGGGGTCGCCGCCCGTGCCCGCCTGTGAGGGCGGACCGGCCGGTGGGCGCGGGCTGCTGAGCGGGGTGAGCAGCGGGTGCCCCGCCGCCGTCAGGCTGGAGGCCTCGAGGGCACGACCCGCCCCCGGCGGGCGTCCTGCGGCGGCGGGGGCCGAGCCCGGGTCCCCTCCCCGCCGGCCTCTCCGAGCGTGGGCAGGCGCCGCCGCCCCCGCCCTCCCCAGCCCGCCCGGCGCGACCCAGACCCAGCGGCAGCCCGCCCGGCGCGACACCGTCCCCGGGGCGCGAGGCCGTCTCAGGGCGCGAGGCCGGCGCGGGCGGGCGCGGCGATGGGCGGGGCGAGGGCGCGGGCGGGGCGGCGGGCACATGCGCACAGGCGGCGCGGCCGGCACGCGGCGCTCGCGCTCCCGGCTTAAATGAGCCCGGCGCCCCGCGCCCGCCACTTCAGCGGATCCCGCGCCGCGGCCGCGGGCGGAGCTGCCCGCCTGTCCGGGGCCGCTCGTCCGCTCCGGGCGGCCGAGGGACTGAGCGCCGCGGGTCGGGAGGCGGCGCCCGTCGGGGGGCTCGGGCAGCGAGGGAGCCCGCCGGGGGCTCGGGCATGGCGGGCCGCAGGACCTGAGCCCTGGCCCGCGGGGAGGCAGCCTGGTGGCCGGCGATGGGGACGGAGCGGGGCGGCCGCCGCGCCGAGCCGTGAGCGCCGCCGCCGCCGCCGCCTCAGCCCCGTGAAGCGCCGGGCCGCTCGCGAACATGGCCCTGGCGCAGCTGTGCCCGGTCCTCAAAGGTAAGCGCCCGGGCGGCGGACGGCGCCCCCTGCGGGCCGAGGCTGGCGCCGCCCTGCCCGCGTTCGCATCGCTCCCCGCGCCGGCACCGACGCGCCTCTTTGTCCCCGGGGCTCGCGGCGGCTCGGAGCGCAGCGTGGGGCTCTGGCTCCGGCCGGCCCAGGTCGACTTGCTGCCCGGCGCTCTGCCCAGCCCCGCACGGCCGGCTGCGTGGGGACAGTTCAGAGCGGGGTCGAGTCGGGCGGCGCCGGCCGGGAGGCCCCTGGCAGCGCGGGCCTCCGGGCTGCGCCCTCGCGCCTCTGCCGGGGATTCCGCACGGCGCTGTGCGGAGTTGTGGCAGTCCTGGCGGCGCGGCGAAGGCAGGCCTTGCTTGGAACGCAACGGCACAGTAATTCCACGCAGTGACCGAGACGTCGTGTAGCGGCTCGGACCGGCCGCGGCGGGACTGGGCCTGCGGGACGGCCGGTCCCACCTGCTGCGGCCGCGGAGGCTGCGGCGCCGCTGCGGGCTGGTGCGGACCGGGCCCGGCCCGGGGAGCGAGCGCGGCCGCTCGGGCTGTGCCCCGGGCGCTCCCGGACGCCGCTCCTGAGTCGACCCTCGCGCTGCCCGGTGCTCGGAACATCCCGCCTCGGTGCTTGGCTCTTTCTGATTTGTTGTGCCGGGAATTAAAACGCACTCGGCCGCTTTGCATTGCCCAGGAGGTTATTTTCGATAACATTTATATACATAGATAATTGAGATTGCGATACAAAGTTGCTTCTGAAGCTAGAACTGAATAAATCCTTTTTTCGCCAATTCTCAGAGGAAAAACAGCACCGCCACTCAATAAAGGACTTCCCTTTTGCTCCTGCTGATTTAAATTGAAAATTAGATTAGCTGTATATTTGCAGTGTTAAAAAATTTTTTCGTATTGAGGGGGGAGTTAAGGCATTGCATTGAGTCGTGTGTAGCTTATTATTGTATCTTAATACTTGCACAGTGGCAGATTTTGATGTTTTTCTGACTCCATATTAACACTTTTGTTAAATTTGTTTTATTACAGAGTTCAGCGTAGTTTTGCTTTTAATTTTAATTGAACAAATCACTCCAAATATTCCTAAATTCATAATTGATATTGCAGCAGTTTAATGTAAGACGTTTAACTACCCAACTATATACTTGTATGTTCAGCTTGTACTAAGGCAGCCTCGGACTTTCTAGCCGGAATATTTCACGGTCAGTCCACAAATTCTTAGTGGTTCTTTCATTACATTAGAATTAAAAACAACGCTGAGATTAACCCTATAGTTTTCATGTCGTAACTCCTGATTTATATAAACCTTCCTTGGAAGTTAAGGTTTTCTTTTACTCTTTCATAATAAACTGTGCGTGGTAGGATTTCTGCGAGCGCCGCCTCGGCGAGCTATTGTTCCGTTTTCCGGGCGCAGCCCCGCCGCCCGCTGCCCCTGCAGACCTGGCCGCGACGGCGGGGCCGGCGGCCTCCGGCGGGGAAGGAACTCGCGGCTTTTCTGCCTCCGCCGCTGCCGGCGGCGCGCACCGCCCCCTCTGGCCGTCGGGCGCAGCCTCGGCGTTGCACCTTGCGGGCAGGGAGCCTGCTGATGGCAGAGCCGCGGGGAACGACGGTGTGGTGTCTGTAGTCTTGATTCCAGTGTCACCCAGCCTATACTATTTTTACCTGCCGTAGTAGTTCTAAAGCTCGAGCTAACTTGTTGTTGTTGTAGGATTACTAGAGAGAAAGCAAGCTATTTTTAAGTCTTCTGCGGCATGTGCTTGTTAATGCTGAGAATTGGTCTGGGAAGATTCAAGAAATTGTTAAAAGTAAATTCCAATAAGTGAATCTGGGAGACGGAAAGACAAGAGTGGAGGGAGGACTTTAGTTTCACTGCACACACATTTGTATCACTGAATTTTTTTTTAACCAAATGCATGTATAACCTATATAAAAATTGACATTTTTAATTTTTAGAAGTTATCTTTTAAAAAATTGGCCTTTCCCAGTGCTCCTATTCATTATGTGCCCCCAAGGCATGAAAAAGTGTTTCTTAAGTAGACTATAAGATAAATTCCTTCAATATCAAAGAGGTTCTTATCTGAAGCAGCTATTTAACATTTACGTAATTACAGATACTGCCTACTAAAGCCTTGTTTGGAATATTATGATCACCTTCTACTGAAATAAATCAACCGTAATGAGTGTGAGATTTTAAGTAGAAAGTAATTTTAGTTCTTTAAGATGCTATTGATTCTTTATGTTTTACTTTCAGCAGTGAGGACAAAAGGATAACGCACTAGGCTTTTAAACCTTTTCATATTGTTGAAACGTACTAATTCATATTAACCTGTTTATGATTACTGTAGATCTTACAAAATTTGAGTTAACCTTCCGTCAGGGTTAAATAAGTAGTGTAATCAAATGAAAATATTACATTAGGATTATAAATCCATTTTTTGGTTCTTATTCTACACATTTGCTTGAGGAGAATCCTATTTGACTTAGCAATATTTAAAGCTGTATAAACTTGTTAAATTTGATTTAACAGAGCACAAATATCCTTTGGAACTATATTTTTAAAATCTTGTCTGAGACTGTGCAAGTATTAACTTCTGTTCATCATTCTTAAATGTCATCAAAGACCAGAAACTGACTATATAGTTTAAGTATTGAAAACTCCTTTAGTAGTAAAGTTTTTTAACACAGCCCTGTAAAAAAACTAACTTTTTGGCTTTTCCTCCCGGAGTTTGGAGGAAAAAAACTGTTTTAACACTGTTAATTGAAAGTCTTATTAAATAATGGTTTATTATAATAAATCTTGAACTAGAATCTGCTTTATCTACAGTTTGAAACCAAACCGGCTATTTAGGGAAAACACATGCATTACAAAGCAAGTTCAGGTGGGGTGCAGTGGCTCACACCTGTAATTCTAGCACTCTGGGAGGCAGGAGAATTGCCTGAGGTCAGGAGTTGGAGACAAGAGGGAGACCCCTTCTCTACTAAAAATAGAAAAAATTAGCTGGACGTGGTGGTATGTGCCCATAGTGCCAGCTGCTGTGGAGGCTAAGACAGGAGGATCGCTTGAACCAAGGAGTTTGAGGTTGCCTATGAGCCAGGTTGACGCCACAGCACTCAGAGCGAGACTCTGTCTCAAAAAAAAAAAAAAAAAAAAAAACCAATTTCAAATCAAAGCCACTTTTCTTTTTGGAAAAAAATAGAAAATGATAGACAATAAATAAAGTTCATATCTACAATTTTAAAACAACAATCCACATTCTGCTTGTGAGTTACTGCCCATTCACAGTCTCTTATCATTTTTCTATTTATACTCCTGCAAAATAATTATCAACATTTTAAAAAGGCACTTGAGATTCCAATTATTATTATTCCAACTCTAAGGATTTGGAAAGGAGGATCCTAAGAGGTGATCTAATCCAGTGGTTTCCAAATTTTCCTTAACAGCAGAACTCCTTCTTCAAAGGCACTCTTATGAGAAAATACTTTAAAAACAAAACAAAAGAAAAGGGCAGGGTTGCTGTGATTGGTGGGAGGCCTTACCCTCTCAATCACCTCAGAAATCAGGGTGGCCCCCCGAGAACTGACATTTTTCAGCATGTTTATTATATTGCTTATATAATTAGAGTATACTAATCTGAAAGTTCAATTTTTCCTAATCAAAATGACATTAAAATGTTAAATATGCCTAGAGTAATATGTTGGAAATTACTGTACCAAAAGATACTAAGTACTCTTTCAGATGTGACCTGATCATGTTAAAATTTGATGGTAGTTGCCGTGGATGTCGAAGGAGGACTCGTGTGTAATTAAAGAAGAGGGTACAAAACTGTCATCTCAGATCAACTTTAACTCAGGAGTTTGTCACATTCTGCAAGAAAGTTACTTTTTCTTATAAAAGTGATTGGCAGTGTGATTAGCATATGTGGGCTGGAGTGATCCCAAAGTTCACCGTCTTCTTTCATAACTAATAAAGTAAGATTGAGTTTGATTAAATTTGGATACTTTTTTGTTGTTCTTGGGAGCATAAGTTTATCAAAAACAAGTTACTGCTCTGTCATGTGGTATGTGGACTGTAATTGAACTCCATTCTGCTTTCCTTAGAGAAAATAGCAATGAGCAGGGAGACCGGTTAGGTGGTTGTTACATTCTGGCATCTTGTGTTAGATTTAAAAGCCTTGTGTTTACTGCTTAGATGCTTAAAACAGGAAGGCTTAGAAAGTAACATTTAATTACTAAAAAAGGTAAATTGAGCCAGCTTGAAGAAAATAAGAGTGGTGGCAGGGTATCTGAAGAAGAAAAAAAAAAAACTTTATTCTTTTCCCATCCCCTGATTTATACTCAAATAAAAAGATGCTGGGGGCCAGGAGCGGTGGCTCACACTTGTAATCCCAGCACTGAGGGAAGCCAAGCACTGGAGGCCAGCAGTTTGAGACCAGCCTGGGCAACATAACAAGACCGTGCCTTTGCAAAAAAAAATTTAAATAGACGAGCATGGTGGCACAGGCCTGTAGTCCCAGCTACTCAAGAGGCTGAGGCAGGAAGATTGCTTGACCCCATGAGTTGGAGGCCACAGTGAGCTATGATGATGCCACTGCACTCTAGCCTGGGCAATAAAGTGAGACTCTGTCTCAAAAGAAAAAAAAAAGCTAAGTCATAGTCATATGTGTGGCTACTGTTAAACCAAGATGTGTGCTTGTCAGTTAGCGCAGGGCTCTCTGTACTATATGAGGCGTCCTCGGGATCCTGCTTAGTCGCTTTGTGTATTCGTCTTACCTGTATCGAGTGCTATTGTAGGCCAGGCAATCTTCCAGGCACTGGAGATGCATCAGTAAATCAGAGAGACAAGGCCCCTCTTTCTAGTAAGAAGAGAGAGGCAAACAAGCACACCCCCCCAAAAAAACAGGTAATATAAGTAATAATGAAAATAAAGCAAGATGAGGGAGAAAATGTAGAGCTTATTTAGAAATTGGGGAAGCCTCATAAGACCTAAAG